TGGAGCGCGGGTCGTTCCCCACGGACATTCTTGCATCGCCGGAGCTCGGGATGGTTTCATCACCCCCCCGGTGCCTTCCCACCCCAATACACTGGAGGAGACGTGGCTTTGCTTTGGCATTGGCTGTAAATCAGCTTTGGAGCTTCATCTGTAGAAGTGGATGACACCTCTGAAATCAGGAGCCGCTTCCCACCTGCCGCACCCAGCCCTCAGTGCCCGGACAGAGCCCATCACACTTTAACCCGAGCAAAAGCACCGACGGGCTTAAAAAAGATCTTTATTTACATTTTCCAGTTCTTTACATTTGGTGGTTTAAAACCCAGGACAAAAATAGACCCCAGAAGCGGTGGTAAACATGTAAAACTGGTGGTTTACACTGCAAAACCCAGTAACAAATCGCACAGAGGCCTGAGGTTGAACAGAGCCATCAAATGTTGTATAAAACCCCCACATCTGGAAAGAGAACCAAAGGAGTAAAGAATTACAGCCACCGGTATGGGTACAAGAACAGGCACCAAGTGTGGAGGATTTTACCCCCCAGGTACCTCCTTGGGGAGGAGGGATGGGACGTTCCTGCTGCAGAACGTTGGAAATGTCTTAAAATAGAGACTAAAACCCAAAGGGAGCCCAGAACACCCTTTATCTCCTCTCTTGTGCTGGCTCAGTAGGAAAACTTCCTTAGCAGACAGTATGTTGGTTCAGTGGAAAGCTGAAAGAGAGTCAGTGTCCAACAAAAAGAGCCTCTGCATCCCGTGTCTCCTTGGACATCAGGTGCCAAAGCAGAGTTTAGCAGGACACACACAGACTGCAAATGCCCCAAATATGGAAGCAGCACATGAGGAGAGCGGGACAAGGACAATAAAGCAGCAGCAGCAGCAAAGGGGGAAAGGCAGATGATATTTTTGGTATTTTCCATGGAAGGCTGAATTTGGAAACCATTGGCTCACTCGTGCCCCACCGCTTCCCCTCCCCATTGCAACACAACCAAACCCAACTGCTTAAAAAATAGAGCCAGGAATTTGAATGAATCCCATGGGTTGGAGTTCTTTATACCCAGAGCTAGGTTTGGGAAAATGGGCTTTTTTCCCTCTTCATTCCCGAGTTTGGACCAAGGGATGATCAAGGGCCTCCAGGAGCTCCCCAGGACTTAAAAGGTTGAAGCTGGAGGGGCTGCAAAGAAGAGACAGCAGCGAGGCAGAGGATGGGGAATTGCCTGTTCCTCTCCCAGGGGAACACAAACCCAGACACTGGGGTTTGCCCCGTTGCGTTCACCCAATGCACGTTACACCCCAAGGACTGGGGCCACCACCGCAGGCAGGCTGAAGAGCTGGACTAGCTCCATCCTGCAGTGCTGGCCCGTTTCAAAGGGGTCCATGAAACATGAGCAAGGATGGGGACCTGCTGCACCCTGGCCAGAGCCTCCCTCCTCACAGGTCTGAGAGGGGCATTTCCCTGTGGGAGCTGTGCCTGCCCAGCCCCAGCGTCCAAAATGAGGACCATCAGGAGGTTTAGCTCCAAGTCCTTCCTGCTCCCTCCACAGCAGAGATGGACACTTCTCACCAGCGAGGAGCAATGCACCCACTTGCTCCTTGCTTTGCCAAGGGGAGTCCATGTACAGCAAGAGATGCTGAAGGACCAGGTTGTAGTAAATGTGATTTGGGAGAGCAAGCTCAGGAGCAGGGGAGCACTGCAGAGACACAGGGCACCACAGGAGCTCTGTGAGATACAACTGTGGCCTCTCCTCGCCATGGTCTCCCCCATGAGCGGTACATTCCCAACTGTAGAGGTTAAATGAGGAGGACATTGGCTGAGGGTCTAAAAGGGCATCCCAGTGGCTCTGGCCACAGTAACCAAAGAGCATCCAAGTTTTCCAGCAAAGGACACGTCACCAGCAGCTCAGCTCCAGGGATGGAGAACAAGGAAGCATGAACCTGTGAGGCCAAGCCAGCAGGGCCTGAAACACTGACAGCTCACTGGGATTTGTCCGGAGGTGTGGAAGGGGTTGGGGTTGAGGAAAGGAGGGATACGAACTGCTGAAAGCAAGGAAGGCCACAGGAGCTATGGGCTGAGCCAGGCCCAACATGTTCAGCTAACTGAGAGGAAGAGGAAGAGCACCGGAGAAGAGATGCACCATCACAACCAAGCTCCTGCCTTTGACCCCCTGCATATCAAGACTGCTTTTCATGGCAGGCACAGACCAGCAGGTAAAGGAGAGAGGCCTGAATAATGAAAGCTGGGCAGAAGCATGAGTTGAGCAGAGCGTGAAGCATCCTCATGTCTGAGACACAGCTCACACCTCAGGCTACTTGCAGTGACAACACTTAGGCAGCACCTGCACACCTTAGCCCTGGTATCACCAAACTATGTGTGTGTGGAGGAACCTTCTTCCACTCTTAACACATTGATTTCAAATGGCTCTTTAAGAGAGGGCAGAGGCTGGTGGTGTCCAGCCCCTCCAGCCAGGGCTTGGCTGCTCCATCTGCGCCCTCCTGCAGGGAGAGCCTGTGCTCCCATCCCTCCCTACCAGCCCAGCTCTCCTACTGGACAGCAGAGGAGGCCCAGGAGGCCATTCATACAAACCATGGCTTTGGGACACTGTACGGGCTGCACCGTGCTGGCTGTCAGCAGAAGTCATCATCTTCTGTGGCCAGAGCAAAAACGTGCTTCACTTTGTCACAAACCGGCACGGTGCATCCCTGGGTTTGGCATGAAGAGGCACATGGATGAGCATCAGCAATGGATGAAAAAGCACAGCGTTTCTCTTAGAATAATTTATTAAATACAGCATTAAAATTTGTATTTCTGAATTCAATCATTAAAAACAAAACTCCATCTCATATATATATATATATTCAGGGACAACGACAATCATTCTATCACCACTGGTGTGTGTTGTGCCAGCACTGCTCAGAACGGCACCTTCTCTACTCTATCCTTAAAGCAGTTCAACACTTAAAATGAACCAAACTAAAAGCATTTGCAAAGGAAGAGTGCAAAGCAGGGCTTGTCCCCAGCTGCAGCGGGTGTGCGGGGCAGCGGGGAGGCTGTGCTGCTCCCAAGAGCTTTGTCAGATACTGCCCAGTGCGAGACCAGCGCTCAGAGGGGCCCAAGCTCTGCACCAGCCATGGCCTAAGGTTGTGGTTTCCTCAGCTTGGGCAGTTGATACTAAAAAAAGCTTTAAAAAGGAGGCGAGGAGGGAGAAGCACAGAAGAAAAATGTTGGTTTCCATCCTCCAGCTTCACCCCCGACCTGCCGGGTCCAGGAGTGCAGCACTTTGTGTTCCCACTCCCTCATTTAGCATCCTGCTGCGGCTCAAGAGCCAGCTCAGGAAGCAAGTGGTCAACCAGCCTCCAGAGAGCAGCCCCCAGGCCAAGCACGCTCATGCACTGACTCGGTGGCGCTGGGTGCTCCTGTGAGACACCAGGCTGAGCTTCCAAGGAGGGTCATCCCAAAGGAAAGGGCTTCCATGGGCAGGGACTCAGAGGTAGCATCAGACAGGACTTTTCTAATTTGATAGGCATGGAATTCCGGCCTGCTGAAGGCAGGTGGGATGAAGAGAGCACCCTGCAGGGTGGGTGATGGGACACAGGGTTCTGGGGTGTCCCATGACTGCAGCCTACAGCAAGCCAGGATGGATTGTCTCCTATAGGGCTTTCCAGAGGAAAGAGTCACCCTTTGCTGAGAACGGCTGGAAGCTGGTGTTACCCCAGGGTAACACTGGGCTCCCTCCACAGCTCAGCAGGGCCTCCTGGGTTAGGAGTGAGTGCCCCTGCCTGCTCTCCCCTCACCACACGCTGTGGGAGGACCAAAGGCTGCAGGTCCCTCACCCCACAGCACAGGTACAGTGAGGCCTTGTGCTTTTGGCTCTTGAAGAGTCCCTGTCCTTCCGAACCCGCTCACTCCAAGAAACCTCCTGTTTCAGCTACCCTTAGGACCTATGAGGACAAGATTGTCAAAACCACTTCTGGAGAGCACACGGCCCCTAAAGAGAAGAGAAAAGTCCACCCAGCCCAGCCTTCACCTACAGTGGAGACATGCCAAGTCAGGAGCATTTCAGATAAGGCATCGCAGGTGCTTTGATAGTAATGCAGTTAGTGTTGACTACAGTACTTTAAACACAGGCTGCTGCAGAGGCCATCCCTGGGGCTAAACCAGTTCTGCAGCACTTGATGCAGCAGCAGTTGAGTTTCCCAGACCTCTCCTATGCACACACAGGCTGCTCTGGCTGCACTTTTTGGTTTTCCCACCCCCCTCCCTAGAAAGAGACTTAAAAAGCCCAGGCTGGGCTGTGCCATTTACCCCACCAAGCAGCCAGAGAGACAGAGATGCCTCGTGCTGTAGCAGACCTCGGTGTAGGCAGCTGAACCGTGGCACTGGGGTGGGCAGCACCAGCAGGACTCAGAGCAGGGGAGGTCAGTTGCCGTTGCTGATGCTGGAGTTGGCACTGCTGCAGCTCTGCTCGTAGGATGGAGGTGCCTCTGCAGGGAAAAGAAGGAATAAAGTGGTTGTGGTGGGTGTTTGGGAGGTTCCCTGCACCCCATGTGTGCTTACACGTGTCATGGGGCTTTCTGACAATAATTTCAAAGCTGTTGAATTAAATCATTCCCTGTGAGGGTGCTGAGGCGCTGGCACAGGGTGTCCAGAGAAGCTGTGGCTGCCCCATCCCTGGCAGTGTTCAAGGCCAGGTTGGACACAGGGGCTTGGAGCAACCTGCTCTAGTGGAAGGTGTCCCTGCCCCTGGCAGGGGTTGGAACTGGAGGAGCTTTAATGTCCCTTCCAGCCCAAACCAGTCTGGGATTCTATGACCCTACGCAGTGCACATGCAGAATTCGAGCGAGGCACTCCCATCCCTGTGTTGATGCCTGCAGGAGTTAAAATCAGCACCTCAAAGTCTTGTCTGCTCCTCCCCTTCTTTCACAAGCATCTTCATGTACTCCATCACCTCCAGATCACAGGTGACCTGTGCCCTGATCCAGGGCTGAGGTGACACATTTCATTCGCCCAGTGCTAACAGATGGGTTTATTCGGGTAGGACCATGCTAACAGACACCACTGGTCCCTTCCACCCCAGCTGCCTGGAGAAGCACAGCTCCAGGAATCCATCATGCTGGGATTTCCCCAAGCTTTTCCAGCCTGGGCAGTCTCTCAGCTCCCACCCTCACAGCTTGTGTCTCAGACCAGCTGCAGGCCCACTCCAACTCAGACAGAAGATTTCAGTGACATCATTTTCCTGGCTCGGCTCCCACCAGCCTCACCATAAGCCAAGAAGTTTTTCTCTCAGTGGGAGGCTGGAAGCTCAGTTAAGAACAGGGAGATCCTCTCACAACAACAACGAGCCCAGGGCAGGCACGGGTACAGATGTGGGAATGGACAGCAGCTTTTACAGCTGTGAGAGGGGACTTCTCCAGAGGCTACAGCAGGCGGAAAGATTGGATGATCCCCTGCCCTGTTCCCTGTATTCCCACCCCGCTCACAGCTGGCTGAGACTCTTGGGGTAGGAGATGTTTACTACCACGCTGCCAGGCTCTTTGGATCCTCACCATAGGGGTAGCCCCATGTGCTGTACTCTGGAGGCAAAATGAGGGAGCTGGCGGTGGGGACAGGCACCACATTCCCCTCGGCGTAGTAAGGGACAGTGGCCCCCGTTGACAGGCAGAGCGTGGGGTGGTTTGGGGAGCCCGTCTGCTCCGAGTCCACCCGTATCTCCTGGAAGCTCAGTCCTGGGGCATAGCTAAATGGTTGCTGCTGGGAATGGCTTTTGGTGGGGATTGAGACATTGTCCATGGAGTGATAACCACTGGCAGCCTCCTCTTCCTCCGGGGGGGCACTGGGCACCACTGCAGAAGGGACGTGCTGGATGGGCCGGGAGGGGCTCAGGGGCACCCTGTTCACAGCGATGTTACCGATGTAAATGGGGAGAGTGACTGAAACCTCTGGTGACTTGAGGGAGACCTGGAAGAGAAGGGAAAACAGTGGCATCCTCTTCATCATACACTGCACTGGGCAGGTTCACCCACATCACCCACAGAGTTCAGCAACTGAGCTCAATGCAGGAGTAGCTGCAGCACAGCCCACTGGAGCTCCCCAGGAGCACCGATGGACTCACCTGGATGTAGTAGTCGATATGGATGAGGCTACAGCCCTGCAGAATGGACTGGGGCAGTGCTGGAACGAGGATCTGCTCCTTCCACTCTGCATATTTCCAAGCTTTCACTCCTGAGCCTTCCACCTCTGCGATGGTCCTCAAGTCATAAATCCAGCGCTTGGATTTATAAGCCACTTTCTGTACAGACAAGAGAAAACACAGCTAGGAGAAACACTGCAGATGGTCTCCTGACAGAGCTGGGCTGGTTCAGCCTGGAGAAGAGAAGGATCCTGAAGGGGACACCGTAGAGCAGCTCCCGTGCCTAAAGGTGCTCCAGGAAACCCGGAGAGGGGCTTTGGACAAGGGATGTAGGGACAGGACAAGGAGAATGGCTTTAACCTGCCAGAGGGGAGATTGAGATGAGCTCTGAGGCAGAAGCTCTTCCCTGTGAGGGTGCTGAGGCGCTGGCACAGGGTGCCCAGAGAAGCTGTGGCTGGCCCCTCCCTGGCAGTGTTCAAGGCCAGGTTGGGCGTGGAGCAACCTGCTCTAGTGGAAGGTGTCCCTGCCCGGGGCAGGGGGTTGGAACTGGGTGAGCTTTAAGGTCCCTTCCAACACAAACCAGGCTGGATTTCGGTCTCCCACAAACTCAAGTTAGGACACAAACCCACCCAACTGCTTTGTCAAACAAGCACAAACCTCACGTGCATATTATAGAGCAGAAATACCATTCATTACATGACGGACTGAGCTGGTACAAGCAAGACAAGTTCTACTACCTCTTTCCCCAGTAAGGCAGAGAGAATAAGAGGTAGCCAGAGGCCTGAGCTCCTCCCTGTCCCCTTCCAGCCACAGCCAGCACAGATGCACAGCGGAGAGGGTGAGAACTGCCCCAGTTCCACAGAGATCCCGGGGTATGAAGTGCCAACGCAAGCCAAGAACCAGCCTTTGGATGCTCACCTGCAGCAGACTGGCTACCACAGCCCCCGTGTCCCGGCCCGACTTGTTCTCGATGTCAGTGCGGAGCTGGATGGCCTGGCCCACGATGTACCCTTTCAGATCCGAGGTGGCAGTCAGGATGATGTTGCCACTTTTCACAAGCTTGTAGTTGAACTTCTTGGTGATTGACATAGTGTTGGGCTGCTGCAGGACAGTGAAAGACAGAGATGTTGGCTCAAGAGGCTCAGAGAGCCTCGAAGAAAACACTCAGAGGTTGAAAACATGCAAGCAGAAGTATCTGGTCAGAAAGGATGCAAAGAAGCAGCCACACAGCACTATGACAGACAAACAGCTCTCACAGCTTTGCTGTCCTGTTAGCTGCTCTTCCCTCCAAAGCAAGTTCCCCAAACGCAGTGCTATTGGCCAACACTTCCCTCTGCATGCTGAAAATCCACCTAAATCTTTTAAAACAACATGTGGGAGACTCAAAGATCACTTGGAGCAGGGAGTGATGCCAAGGTAGGACAGATCAGGAGCCCGTGTCCTGCTCTTGCACAGTCAGGGAGTTGCCCAACCACACAATTACTCTCCAGGCAGCACACAGGACACAAGGACAAGTGCTGAAGCCCCGGCACGTCCCAGCCATGCTCCTTGCTCTTACCTCAATGTCAGGGATGTCGTTCAGGTTGAGAGGGCAGAGAATGTAGAAAATTCTGCTGCACTTGTAGTCCTTGGAGAAGCGAGGTGTGTCTATCACAGCCTTCACCTGATGGAGGACCTTGCCAAAAGGCCCTTCGAAGGATGTAGGAGCAGAGGCTGGAGCCGAGAGAGAAAGAAAACGATCATAAGACTGAGTCAGGCCAAGTGTTTCTGGACTAAGTTAGAGTCCAAGAAGAGATCCTCTGCAATTATGGGTGCCAGAGCAGAGATCCTCTCTCCAAGCCACAGGCCAGGACCCCAGTGCACACGCAGAGAGCTCACAGGGTCACGCTTGCAGAGACATCAGCCACAGAGTCATCAGACCTGGCTTCGCACCAACACAGAAGGCACCTGCTTGTCCAAGCTCCCTCTAGTGCCTCTGGGCCAAGCCCACCTCTGCCATCCCCCCCTAGTCCTGCTGAGCACACCTCAGAGGCTGCACAAGCCAAGACGCACATGGAAGTGTCTTCAGCCTTTTATCTACATCATACCTGGCAGCAGGAACTGGAAGGGAAAGTTGTGCTCTCCAGCTGTCAGGACCCCTGTGGGAAACAAGAGTAAAAGGTCAGCGGGACAGGCTGTGGCCTTGGAATGGTGTGATCTTCTGGAGAGCATCATCCTTGGGGAGCGAGGCCACCAGACAGGGAACAACACGCAGCTTGTTCCCCTGCCTGCAGCCTGCTGGACAACTCCAGATCCAACAGAGCTTGAGTCAACATGAACCTCTGCTGCCACACACCTCTCCTCGGGATGGGAGATGCCTCCATTCCCAATGACTGGATCTATGTTAAGACACCCTGTAAATAAGGTAGTTTGGGGCAGAGTTTAAGGGATCCCAGTGCCACAGGATGTGGTTAGCCTACACTGCTGACACAGGGATGGAGAAGGGATGCTCTGTGTTTGTCTCCCTTCAGGTAGGCTACAGCAGCTGGGGGGAAAGCAAGAAAGCACAGGCATTGTCTGAGGGTGGCAAGGAGGTCTGGTGGGCATCAAGCTGCCCCATGCAGACTGATCACTGCAGTGATCAGGAGCTGAAGGTCCACCTCCCAGGCCTAAACCCACCCCTGGTCCCAAGAAGGAACCTGCAATACCTCAGCCCAACAGAATCACAGGATCATAGAATGGTTTGGGTTGGAAAGGACTCAAGATCATCCAGTTCCAACCCTTACCCATGGGCAGGGACACCTCACACCAGACTATGTCACCCAGGGCTCTGTCCAGCCTGGCCTTGAACACTGCCAGGGAGGGAGCCTTTACCACTTCTTTGGACAACCTGTGCCAGGGCCTCAGCATCCTCACAGTAAAGAACTTCTTCCTTATATCTAAGACCTGAGAAAAAGATTTCCAGTGTTAAAACCTCCGTACCTGTTTTCTTCAACCATACGCTGCTTTGCAGTGGCACATGGCTAGAACAACAGGGACAGACTCAGACACCCCAGCCCCATCCACCCTCCAGCACTCCCACCTGGATTCTGATTCCCTCCCAGGCAGTGTGATGCCCAAACTGCACCTGCAGTGTGATCTGGTGACATCAGGCAGCTCCCAAAGTTGCTTTCAGTAAGAAAAGCACTGAAGTTTACCAACATTTGTTAAATACTTGTAAAGATGAGAGGTTCTGCATTTAAAGAGGTGACCAGGATTCCCATCCAATTAAGATGGGTTTATTCTGCTTTGTAGGACCATTGCTGGAGGAACCAAGACTCTAAGGTTTGGCCAGCTCTTGCACTGATGATGGTGGAGGAGACAGCTTGCCCCTCAGCAGCATCGGCACCACAGAGCTGACAGTAAGAGCCCTACTGTCACAGGATTAAGGGGATTATGTGATGGGGAGGCAGGGGAGAGAGGAGGGTAAATCCACCCCACTGACACTGTGACCCAGGGGAGGGGGTTTTACTCGGTGCATCCTTCATGTTATGAAGAGCTGCAGCTCTGCCCCTCTGCTCACTCAGCCACCCCATGGGGACCTAAGGACACCCCAGTTTAGCGAGCACCCTGTCTGCAGACCAAGGGCAGGCAGAGTAAGTGATAAGCTTCAGGGCAGTGCTGGAGTCACCGTCCCTGTAGAGGCCTCAGTGCCAGGGGTTAGTGGTGGCCTCAGCAGTGCTGCGGAACGGTTGGACTGGATGAGCTTAAAGGTCTTTTCGAACGCAGCTGATTCCATGATCTGATATGACAGGCATCCCATCGCGTATCGCTGCAAAGGCAACACAGGAGAGAACCGAGAGATGTGTGCTCATGTCCTCACGGGGAGGAGAGCACTTGCTCACTCCATCCTCGCCCCGTCCCCCAAATAAACCCGGATTATGGAACCTACAATGCAACGCCCGCGCTTGTCACCAGGTGGAGGCACAAAGCCACCGCTGCCTCGCTGCCTGCAGGGCTGGGGCAGGCAGGGGCCTGGGGACCTTCTCCCTTCCCCCTGGGGAAGCCTCGCTCCGTTAACGGCAGCAGCTGAGGTGCCTTCGCTCGTTGGTGACAGGGTAAAGTCTGGCTAAGATGACTCAAGGGTTCCTGACCTTTATTGGGCACCGTTCAACAGTGATCTTACACCCGTTATCCTTACTTTTGGAAAGCGAATCGGTACACTGGAGTACATCAGCTCTCCTGTGCAGCTTCTGCACTGCGGTGAGGGGGCTCGCTCCATCTGGAAGGGAGAGGGAGCAAGTCCACTTACTGCAGTGCAGAAGGGAGATGGGAGTCCCCGAGGGAAGCGGCCACTGAGTTTTCACCAAGACCTGGAGGCTTTCCAGCTGTCTGACCAGCAGATGAACACACAGACAGTGCTTTCAAGCCTCCTGCTATGAGCATGAAACCTCATAGCCTTTCCAGGACCCTTAGGGAAAGTCCATAGACTCCACAAAGAGGAATTCCCTCTTCTACATTACAGGCGGCATGATCCAACAAGTCATGTTGGTCGAGCTCCTGCCCAGCTCATGTGCACCAACAGAAAACCAGCTGGAAGTGAACCTGTGAGCACTTCACCTTCAGAGTTCCTAACCCCCTGCAGAAACCCAGGGGTTGTCAAGGTCACTCCCAGCTGCAGCACAGAGCAAGGCAACACACTCTGCCAGCAATACGCATGGCCAGCATCACTCACAGAGGATCTCAGACTGGTCTGGGCTGAAGGGACCTTAAAGCTCCTCAAGCTCCAACCCCTGCCACGGGCAGGGACACCTTCCCCTAGAGCAGGTTGCTCCACACCCCTGTGTCC